GGATAGGTGTGCCCAGGGCTGCACTCTTCATGGAGCCAGATGGAGCTAGGCTCCCTTTCAGGTTGGCAGTGTGTAGCTCCCTACATTCTTGGCCACAGCATCAGCTGCCAAGAAGTGGCTGTGGACCTAGGCGTCCCTGCACTCTCACGGCCTTGGAAGCTCCCATAATCCTTCAGGCTCAGAAGTGCCTGCTCCCACTGCTAGGCTTCTCCCCACCCATTCATGTTGCCTGCTCCAATTTTGGAGCAAAGTTGTGGCCAACCCGGGGTACTGCCATGGTCCAGCCAGGTGTGCACATGCTTAGGGCAGTGCTGATATGCGAGCCCCCTACAGCCTCAGCTGCTTCTGGACTTTAAGCACAAGTCAACAAGCATGGGAAGGAGGCTGAGGGAAGGGTTGAGGGCAGCTTGGCATGGACTTGCAGGTGCCTTTTGGCACAAACAGCCAGGGCACTGTAGATCACATGCAGATGGTGGTGGGAGGCAGTCAGGCTCCTGGGTGGAAAGGGGCAGATGCCCAGTGAAGCCCCATCTTCAAGACAGGGACAGCCTAAAGCATGAGGGCAAGGCTGTTAATTTTGTGTTGAGTCCATGGTCCAGAATGAGAACTCATGGTACATTTGCCAAACCTGCCCATGACCATCTATGGACCAGTCAACATGTACTTTCTCTCTTCTGAGACTCCTAAAAACCCCATATTCAGCCGAACTTACAGAGATGTCAGGATGACCTGCCTGGAGATAGGAGCTGCCCACACTGGGTCTCCTTTCTGCTGAGGGCTGCAGACATCAGGACAACCTGCCTGCAGAGAAGAGCTACCTATCCCAGTTCTCCTTTCCATTGAGGGTTGCAGACATCAAGACAACCTGCCTGCAGAAAGGAGCTACCCATTCTGGGTATCCTCTCCATTGAGGGCTGCAGACTTGATAGGACAACCCACACCTGCAGAATGGAGCTCCCAAGTTGGGTTTCCTCAGAGCTGTACTATTGCTCAATAAAGTACCTCTTTGCATTGTTCACCCTCTAGTTGTCCACATACTTCATTCTTTATAGATGTAGGATAAGATCTTGGGACCCACTGAATGGTAGAACTGAAAGAACTGCAACACAAACAGGGGTGAAACATGTCCCTTTGCCCCAAGCTCACCATGTTATAAACAGTGAGAATGAGAGAAGATCTGCAGCCCTTCAGGATACCCAGAGCTAAGGCCTCACTGGTCCATGGCTGTGACACCCTCTTTGGGGCTCTGCAGTTCCTGGCATCTCTAAGCTTCTGGGCACCACTGTGTTCCCCAGAGCCTGCAGTGGAAGCTACTTGAGGCATTCCTGGTCCAGCAACAGCCTCCCACAGAGCAGGTGCTTATGCTAGTACCTGAAGCTGCCCACTGTGCTGCAGAAGCTAGTGTACCTGGCTGTGTGCAGTAGCCAGACCTCACACTTGCTCACTCATGCTTATCTTACTGCTCCACACTGGGCTTACCCTTGGCAGGCATGAGATTTAGGCCAGTAGCACAAGTTAAGCACAGCCTGACAGATTGAGTGGGTGGAGCAAGTCCAGTGGGCCCAAGCAAAACATGGGCAAGAGAGCCACCAGCCAGAGAGGCTTCCACCTGGAAAAGCGATTCCTTAAGGATCCTGTGACACTTTCTATTTCTCAGAACACTCAAAGAGGTGGGAGAAGAAAATGACTGTTAAAGAGCAAGGGGTGGGAGATTATGTAAGCACATTTTAAAATACTTTAAAATTTTCAAATTTTGTGCTGAATGATTTTTAAACATAGTATATCTTTCTGGTTAAACGATATAAAAATTTTTTTTGTTAAAATATTTTAGTCTCTCTTGCATACAATCCTTCCAGACAAAAGATCTAAATGAAAATAGAAGATGATTACAAGGGTAAAAAATAATGGCGTTTTAATTACTAAATTGGGCCCACTGATACAACAGAAACAATACTCCAGGTACCTTAAAACACAGGAGTTAAAAAGGACATAAATCTTTGTTTTTGGATTTGTAAAACTATGGAGACTGAAAAGAATTTTTGCTAGAGAAATGGGAGAAGGTAGTTTGGGAGAAATATGTAAAGCACAGGATTTTTAGGGTGGTGAAACTATTCTGTGTGATACTGTATATGTGTTCTGTACATGCACACATGAATAATAGTAAATAAAGCTGGAGGGACTAAGATGACTAATATAAAAACAAATGGAATTTTAGACAAGTAATATTACCAGAGGCAAGTGACATTTCATAGTAATTACAGGATCAATATATCAGGAGAACATAATATTTATATATGTGCATTCCTTAGATATATAAATAATAATAGAACCACAAAATAAGTAAAATATGATCTGGCACGCTACAGGCAAAATGTACAAGTATAATTGAAATCTTTAGCATCACTGTCAGACCAACTAGACAAAACCTTAGAAAAGAATATGGAAGATCTGAATGTCACTATTGATCACTATATCCCATAATATTTATAGAACACTATATTTAACACCTGGAGAATACAAATTCTTCTGAATTAAACATGGAACATTTACTGATAGATCTTGAACTGTACCAAAGAGAACTCTTACATAGTATGTTCTCTCACAACAGAAGTAAATTAGAAATTCATAAAATTAGATGCCTGATGTCTAATTTGGTTTGGTTTGTGTCCCCACCCAAATCTTGCCTTGAATTATAGCTCCCATAATTACCACCTGTTGTGGGAGGGACCTAGTGATATATAATTTAATCATGGGAGTGGTTTCCCCTGTTCTGTTCTCATGGGAGTGAATAAGTCTTATGAGATCTGATGGTTTTTATAGGGGGTTTCCCCGTTTCCTTGGTTTTCATTCTCTCTTGCCTGCTGCCATGTAAGATGTGTCTTTAACCTTCTGCCATGATTTTGAGCCCTCTCCATGTATGTCAAACTGTGAGTCAATTAAATCTCTTTTTTAAATGAATTACCCAATCTTGGAAATGTCTATGAAGCATGAAAACAGACTAATACAGTAAGCTGTTACCAGTAGAGTGGGGTACTGCTGTAAAGATATTTAAAAATGTGGAAGCAACTTTGGAACTAGTTAGCAGGTAGAGATTGAAATAGTTTGGAGGGCTCAGAAGAAGACAGGAAAATGTGGGAAAGTTTGGGACTTCCTAGAGACTTGTTGAATAGCTTTGACCAAAATGCCGGTAATAATATGGACATAAAATTCAGGCTGAAGTGGTCTCACATGGAGATGATGAACTTGTTGGGAACTAGAGTAATAGTATCTCTTGCTATGTTTTAACAAAGAGACTGGTGGCATTTTGCATCTGTATTGTGGAACTTTGAACTTAAGGGAAATGATTTAGATTATCAGGCAGAATAGGTTTCTAAGAATCAAAGCATTCAAGATGTGACTTGGGTGCTGTTAAAAGTATTCAGTTTTAAAAGGGAAACAGAGCATAAAAGTTCAGAAACTTTGCAGCCTGATGATATGATGGAAAAATAAAAAACAAACCTCATTATCTGAGGAGAAATTAAAGCTGGCTGCAGAAATTTGCACACATAATGGGGGAGCCAAATATTAATCACCAAGACAATGGGAAAACTGTCTTTAGGGCACGTCACAGACCTTTACAGCAGCTACTCCCATCACATGACCAGAGACTCAGGAGGAAAAAAATGGCTTTGTGGGCCATGGCCAGGGACCCCTACTTTGTGCAACCTAGGGACTTGGAGCCCTGCATCCCAGCCAGTCTAGCCATGTCTAAAAGGGGCTAGGTTGCAGCTTAGGCCATGGATTTGCAGGGTATGATCCCCAAGCTGTGGCAGCTTTCATGTTGTGTTGAGCTTGTGTCTGCACAGAAGTCAAGAATTGAGGTTTGGAAACCTCTCCCTATATTTCAGAAGATACATGGAAACACCTGGCAGTGTTCTGGCAGAATTCTGCTATAGATGCAGAACCCTAATGGAAAACTTCTGCTAGGACAGTGCAGAAGGGAAATGTGGGATTTAAGCCCCCACACATAATCCCCACTGAAGTACTGCCAAATGAACTGTGATAAGAGGGCCATCATCCTCCAGAGCCCAGAATATTAGACTCGGTGACAGCTTGCACCATGCACCTGGAAAAGCCACAGGCACTCAACCTGAGCCTGTGAAAGCAGCTGGGAGAGAGGCTGTACTCTGCAAAGGCACAGGGGCAGAGCTTCCCAACATCATGGGAACCCACCTCTTGCATGAGCTTGACGTGGCTATGAGACATGGAGTCAAAGAGATCATTTCAGAGCTTTAAGATTTGATTACCCTGCTTGATTTTTGACTTGCATGGAGTGTATAACCCCTTTGTTTTGACCAGTTTCTCCCACTTGGAATAGTTGTATTTACCTAATGCCTGTAACTCCATTGTATCCAGGAAGTAACTAACTTGCTTATTATTTTACAGGCTCATAGGTGGAAGAGACTTGCCTTGTCTCAGAGGAAACTCTGGATTGTAGACTTTTGAGTTAATGCTAAAATAAGTAAGAACTTTTGGGACTGTTGGAATGCATGATTGGTTTTGAAATGTGAAGACATGAGATTTGGAAAGGGCCAGGAGTGGAATGATACGGTTTGTCTATGTCCCCACCAAAATCTCATCTTGAATTGCAGCTTCCATAATTCTCACTTGTTGTAAGAGGGACCTAATGGAAGATAATTGTATCATGTGGGCAGTTTCCTTGTGCTGTTCTCTTGTCAGTGAATAAGTTTCACCAGATACGATGGTTTTATAGGAAGTTTCCCTTTTTACTTGGCTATTATTCTCTCCTGCCTGCCACCATATAAGACTTGCCTTTCACTTTCCATTGTGATTGTGAGGCCTCCCTAGCCACATAGAACTGAGTTCATTAAACTACTTTTTCTTCATAAATTATCCAGACGTGGGCATGTTTTTATCAGCAGCATAAAAACAGACTAATATAATACCCTAATGTCTTGGTCCATATTCATTGCTATGAAAGAATATCAGAGGCTGAGCAATTAATTTATAAAGAAAAGAGGTTTATTTGGCTCATGGTTCTGCAGGCTATATAAGAAGTGTGGCACAGGCAGGGCATGGTGGCTCATACCTGTAATAGCAGCACTTTGGGAGGCTGAGTTGGGTAGATTGAGCTCAGGAGTTTAAGACCAGCCTGGGAAACTTGGTGAAACCTTGTCTCTGCAAAAAACTAAATAAATAAAAATTAGCTGGTCATGGTGGTAGTTTGAAAATATTTTCTGTCATTCTGCAGCTCTTCTGTTTACTCTGTTGACAGTTTCTTTTTCTCTGTTTTTCTTTTTTTTTTTTACTTTAATTAGGTGCCTTTTGTCAATTTTTGTTTTTGTCAAAATTGCTTTTGGCATCTTTGTCATGAAATATTTGCCAGGTACCATATCCAGAGTTGTGTTTCCTAGGTAATCTTCCAGGGTTTTTACAGTTTTCAATTTTACATTGTCTTTAATTTATCTTGCATCAATTTTTGTATATGGTGTAAAGTAGGGGTCCAGTTTCCATCTTCTGAACATGGCTAGTCCAGTTAAATCAGCACCATTGATTGGATGAGGAATCCTTTCCCAGTTGCTTGTATTTGTCAGCTTTGTTGAAAATTAAATGCTTGTACATGTGAGGCATTATTTCTGGGCTTTCCATTCTGTTCCATTGGACTACGTGTCTGTTTTTGTACCAATGTCCTTCTGTTTTGGTTACTGGAGCTGAGTAGTATAGGTAAAAGTTGGGAAATATTATGCCTTCATCTCTGCTCTTTTTTCTTAGGATTGCCTTGGTTACTCAAATTCTATTTTGGTTACAAATGACTGAAAATAGCATTTTAGGGTTCAGTGAAAAAGGTTATTGGTGGTTTGATAGAAATGAATGTATAAGTTCCTTTGACTAATATGGTCATTTCAACAGTATTGATTCTTTCTATTCATGACCATGGAATGTTTTCCATTTGTTTGTGCCATCTCTGGTTTCTTTGAGCAATGTTTTGTAGTCCTTGTTTAGAGATCTTTCACCTTCCTTGTTAGCTGTATTCCTAGATACTTTATTCTCTTTTTGGCTATTGTGAATGGGATTGCATAGTTTATCTGCAATCAGCTTGGACGTTATTGATTTATAGGAATTCTACTGATTTTTGTACACTGATATTGTACCTGAAACTTTGCTAAAGTTGTTTGTTAGATCAAGGAGCTTTTATGTAAAGACTCTATGGTTTTCTAGTATCAAATTATATTATCTGCAAACAGGGATAGTTTTACTTCATCTCTTCCTATTTGGGCATTTTTAATTTCTTTCTCTTGCCCTATTGCTCTGGCCGGGGTTTCCAGTACTATGTTCGGTAGGAGTGATGAGAGACGGCATTATCATCTTGTCCTAGTTTTCGAGGGGAATGTTTCCAGATTTTGCCCATTTAGTATAATTTTGTCTGTGGATTTTTTGGGGGGGTTCAGAATTTTAAATTGTCTTTTGCTTTTTAGTTGTACTTTAGATTCTGTGATAGATGTGCAGATCATGCAGGATTGTTGCATAAGTACACACATGGCAATGTGGTTGCCACCCCCTTCCCCCCATCACCTACATCTGGCATTTTTCCCCATGTTATCCCTCCCCAACCTTCCTACCCCTCCCCCACTGTCCCTCTCTTATTTCCCACAACAAACCCCAGTGTGTGATGCTCCCCTCCCTATGTCCATGGTTCTCATTGTTCATCACCCGCCTATGAGTGAGGACATGTGGTATTTGATTTTCTGTTTTTATGTCAGATTGCTGAGAATTATGGTTTCCAGATTCATCCATGTCCCTACAAAGGACATAAACTCATCATATTTTATAGCTGCATGGTATGCCATGGTGTACATGTGCCACATTTTCTTTGTCCAGTGTATCATTGATGGGCATTTGGCTTGGTTCCAGGTCTTTGCTATTGTAAACAGTGCTGCTATGAACATACTTGTGCAAGTGTCTTTATAATAGAATGATTTGAAATCCTTTGGGTATATACCCACTAATGGGATTGTTGGGTCAAATGGTATTTCTATTTCTAAGTCCTTGAAGAAGTGCCACACTGTCTTCCACAATGCTTGAACTAGTTTACACTCCCACTAACAGTGTGTAAGTGTTCCTATTTCTGCACATCCTTTCCAGCATCTGTTGTCTCCAGATTTTTTTAATGATCACCATTCTAACTGGTGTGAGGTGGTATCTCAATGTGGCTTTGATTTGCATTTCCCTAATAATCAGTAATGATGAGCATATTTTATATGTTTGTTGGCCTCATATATGTCTTCTTTTGAAAAGTGTCTCTTCATATCCTTCTCCACTTTTTGATGGGTTCATTGGTTTTTTTCTTGTAAATCTGTTTCAGTTCTTCATAGAGTCTGGATATTATCCCTTTGTCATATGAGTAGATTGCAGAAATTTTTTCCCATTCTGTTGGTTGTAGGTTCATTCTAATAATTGTTTCTTTTGCTGTACAGAAGCTCTGGAGTTTAATTAGGTCCCATTTGTCTATTTTGGCTTTTGTCGCCAATAGTTTTGGTGTTTAAGTCATTAAGTCCTTGCCTATGCCTATGTCCTGAATGGGTTTGCCTAGGTTTTCTTCTAGGGTTTTTATGGTGTTAGGTCTTATGTTTAAGTCTTTAATCCATGTGGAGTTAATTTTAGTGTAAGGTGTCAGGAAGAGGTCCAGTTTCTGTTTTCTGCACATGACTAGCCAGTTTTCCCAACACCATTTATTAAACAGGGAATCCTTTCCCTATTGCTTGTTTTTGTCAGGTTTGTCAAAGATCAGATGGATGTAGATGTGTGTCATTGCCTCCAGGGCCTCTGTTCTGTTCCATTGGTCTATATCTCTGTTTTGGTACCAATACCATGTTGTTTTGATTACTGTAGCCTTGTAGTGTCGTTTGAAATCAGGTAGTGTGATGCCTCCAGCTTTGTTCTTTTTGCTTAGGATTGTCTTGGCTATACAGGCTCTCTTTTGGTTTCATATGAAGTTTAAGGTGTTTTTTTTCCAGTTTTATAAAGAAGGTCATTAGTAGCTTGATGGGGATAGCATTGAATCTATAAATTACTTTGGGCAGTATGGCTATTTTCATGATATCGATTCTTCCTAACCATGAGCATGAAATGTTTCTCCATCTGTTTGTGTCCTCTCTTATTACATTGAGCAGTGGTTTGTACTTCTCCTTGAAGAGGTCCTTTACATCCTTTGTTAGTTGTATTCCTAGGTATTTTATTCTTTTTGTAGCAATTGTGAATGGGAGTTCGCTCATGATTTGGCTCTCTGTTAGTCTGCTATTGGTGTATAGAAATGCTTGTAATTTCCGCACATTAATTTTGTATTCTGAGACTTTGCTGAAGTTGCTCATCAGTTTAAGGAGATTTGGGACTGAGATTACAGGGTCCTCTAAATATACAGTCATGTCATCTGCAAATAGAGACAATTTGACTTCCTCTCTTCCTAATTGAATATGCTTTAATTTTTTTTTTCTTGCCTAATTGCTCTGGCTAGAACTTCCAAAACTATATTGAACAGGAGTGGTGAAAAAGGGCATCTTTGTCCAGTGCCAGATTTCAAAGGGAATGCTTCCAGTTTTTGCCCATTAAGTATGATACTGGCTTTAGGTTTGTTGTAACTAGTTTTAATGTTTTGAGATATGTTCCTTTGATACCTAGTTTATTGAGAGTTTTTAGCATAAAGGGCTGTTGAATTTTGTTGAAGGCCTCCTCTTCATCTATTGAGATAATCATGTGGTTTTTGTCATTGTTTCTGTTTATGTGGTGGATTATGTTTGTATACTTGCATATGTTGAACCAGCCTTGCATCCTGGAATGAAGCCTACTTGTTCATGATGGATAAGCTTTTTGATGTGCTGTTGAAACTGGTTTGCCAGTATTTTATTGAAGATTTTTGCATCTATGTTCATCATGGATATTGGCTTGAAGTTTTCTTTTTTTGTTGAGTGCCTGATGGGTTTTGGTATCAGGATGATGTTGGTCTCATAAAATGATTTGGGAAGGATTCCCTCTTTTTGCATTGTTTGGAATAGTTTCAAAAGGAATAGTACCAGCTCCTCTTTGTATGTCTGGTAGAATTCAGCTGTGAACCCATCTACACCTGGACTTTTTTTGGTTGGTAGGCTCTTAATTGCTGCCTCAACTTCAGCCCTTGTTATTGGTCTATACAGGGTTTCGACTTCTTCCTGGGTTAGGCTTGGGAGAGTGCAAGTGTCTAGGAATTTATTCATTTCTTCCAGGTTTACTGGTTTATGTGCATAGAGTTGTTTGTAGTAATCTCTGATTGTAGTTTGTATTTCTGTGGAATCAGTGGTGACATCCCCTTCATCATTTTTTATTGCATCTATTTGATTATTCTCCCATTTGTTTTTGATTAATGTGGTTAGCAGTCTATTTTGTTGATCTTTTCAAAAAAGCAGCTCCTAGATATATTGATTTTTTGAAGGGTTTTTTTTTTTTTGCTCTCTATCTCTTTCAATTCTGCTCTGTTGTTAGTTATTTCTTGTCTTCTGTTAGCTTTCAAATTTTTTTGATCATGCTCCTCTAGCTCTTTCAATTTTGATGATAGGGTGTAGATTTTAGATCTTTCCTTGCTTCTCATGTGGGCATTTATTACTGTAAATTTCCATATAGATCCTGCTTTAAATGTGTCCCAGAGGTTCTGGTACATTGTGTTTTTGTTCTCATTGTTTTCAAAGAACATCTTTATTTCTGCCTTGATTTCATTGTTTATCCAGTTGACATTCAGGAGCCAGTTGTTCAGTTTCCATGAAGCTGTGCAGTTCTGAGTTAGTTTCTTAATTCTGAGTTCTAATTTGATTGTGCTGTGGTCTGAGAAACTGTTATGATTTCCTTTCTTTTCCATATGTTGAGGAGTGATTTACTTCCAATTATGTGGTCAATTTTAGAGTAGGTATGATGTGGTGCTGAGAAAATGTATATTCTATGGATTTGGGGTAGAGATTTCTGTTGATGTCTATTAGGTCTGCTTGGTCCAGATCTGAGTTCAAGTCCTTGTTAATTTTCTGTCTCATTGATCTGCCTAATATTGGCAGTAGACTGTTAAAGTCTCCTGCTATTATTTCATGGGAGTCTAAGTCTCTTTGTAGGTGGTTTAGAACTTGCTTTACATACGTGGGTGCTCCTGTATTGGGCTGTGGGTTTTTATAGATGGCTCTTATTATTTTGAAATATGTTTCTCAAATGCCTACTTGGTTGAGGGTTTTTAATATGAAAGGATGTTGAATTTTATGAATATAAAGCCTTTTCTGCATCTATTGAGATAATCTTATGGCTTTTATTTGTAGTTCTGTTTATATGATGAATCCCACTTATCGATCTGTGTATGTTAACCAGTCTTGCTTCCCAGGGATAAAGCCTGCTTGATCGTGGCATATTAGCTTTTTGTTGTCCTGCTGGATTCAGTTTGCTAGTCATTTGTTAAGGATTTTTGCGTCTATGTTCATCAAGGATATCGACCTGAAATTTTCTTTTTCTGTTGTGTTTCTGCCAGATTTGACATTGGAATGATGTTAGCCTCATTGAATGAGTTAGGGTGGAGGCTCTCCTTCTCATTTTTTGGTATAATGTTGATAGGAATGATACCAGCTCGTCTTTATATAACTAGGAGAATTCAGCTGTGCATCTATCTGTGCCTGGTCTTTTTCTGGTTGTGGAAACTTTATTCCTTTTTGCATTTTGGAATCATTATTAGTCTGTTCAAGGATTTTATTTCTTCCTGTCAAAATTAGGAGGCTGTATATTTCCAGGAATTCATCCATTTATTCCATATTTTTAGCTGGAGTCTGTAGAGGAGTTAGTAGTAGTCTCAAAGGGTTTTTTTTCTATTTTTGTGGGGTCAGTGATAATGTATCTTTTGTCATTTCCTATTCTGTTTATTTCAATCTTCTCTTTTTTAAATTAGTCTAGTTAGTGATGTGTCTTATTAATTCTTTCAAAGAATCAACTCATGGATTTATTGACCTTTTGTATCTCTGTGTGTGTATTTTAGTTTTCTTCAGTTTGGCTCTGATTTTGGTTATTTCTTGTCTTCTGCTAGCATTTGGGTTGGTTTGCTCTTGCTTCTCTAGTTTCCATAGTTCAGATATTAGCTTGTTAATTTTACATCTTTCTGACTTTTTAATAAGAGCGTTGAGTGCTATAAACATCCCTCTTAAAACTGCTCTAGCTGTGTCATAGAGATTCTGGTAGATTTTATCTTTGTTCTTATTAATTTCAAAGAATTTAATTTCTGGTTTAATTTCATGCTTTACACAAAGTAATTCAGGAACAACTTGTTTAATTTCCATGTGTTTGTATAGTTTGGAGTAATTTTCTTAGTACTGATTTACATTTTTATTACATTGTTGTCTAAGAGTGTGGTTGGTATAATTTTTTTTCATTGCTTTTGCTGTGGATTGGTATGTTCCATGAGTGAATGAGAATAACATGCATTTTGTTGTTTTGGAGGTGAAAACGTGTAAATGTCTATTGGGTCTGTTTGGTTAAGTGTTAATTAACTCCTGAATATCTTTGTTAGTTTTCTGCTGGGATGATCTGTCTAATATTGTCCATTTGGTGTTAAAGTCTCACACTATTATCACATGGAAACTTAGTCTCCTCATAGATCTCTAAGAGCTTGCCTTATGAATCTGGGTGCTTTTTTGTTGGTTGCATATATTTTTAGTAGAGTTAAGTCTTCTTGTTTGGAATTCAACACTTTACTATTAATTATATCATGCTCATCTTTGTCTTTATTGATCTTTGTTGGTTTAAAGTCTGTTTTGTCTAATTAAGATGGTAATTTTTTATTTTTTTCCTGTTTTCATTTGCTTTTTAGAATTTTCTTCATCCCTTTGCTTTGACACTATAGGTGTCATTGCTTGTGAGATGGGTCTTTTGAAGGCAGCATCCCATTAGGTCCTGCCTCTTTACCCAGCTTGTCACTCTGTGCCTTCTGAATGGGACATTCAGCCTATTTACTTTCAATGTTAATACTAATATGTGTGGATTTGATCCTGTCATTCTGTTTTTATCTGGTTATTATACAGACCTGTTTGTGTGATTGCTTTATAGGGTCACTGGTCTGTGTACTTCAGTGTGTTTTTTCTAGTAGCTGGTAACAGTCTTTTCTTTTTAGTGATTCCTTCAGGACCACTTGTAAGACAGGTCTTGTGGTAATGAATTCCTTTAGCATTTGTTTATCTCAAAAGGATCTTATTTCTCCTTTGCTTATGAAGCTTAGTTTGGCTAGATATAAATACATGGTTGGAGTTTCTTTCTTTCTTTTTTTTTTTTGAGAATGTTGAACATTCATTTGTAGAGTTTCTGTTGAAAGGTCCTCTGTCAGTTTGATGGATTCCCTTTGTAGATGACCTACCCTTTCCCTCAAGCTGCCTTTAATTATTTTCTTTCACTTTTGTTTTTGGCAAATCTGATGACTATGTGTCTTACTAATGCCCTTTTTGTGTAGTATCTTGTAGGTGTTCTTTACATTCTTGAATTTGAAGGATGACCTCTCCAATGAGGTTGGGGAAATTTTCACAGATGATACCCTGAAATATATTACCCAATTCGCTTCCTTTCTCTCCATCTTCTTCCCATCTTCTTCTTCACCAATATGTCATAGATTTGTTCTCGCTACATAATCCAGTATTTCCTGAAGTTTTTTTTTTTTGTTCATTTTTTTCTCTATTTTTGTCTGACTGAGTTAGTTCACTGAACCAGTCTTCAAGCTTTGAATTGCTTTCCTCAGCTTAGTTTATTTTGCTCTTATTACTTGTAGTTGCATTATAAAATGTTTGTTGTGTGATCTATCAGCTCAGTTTGGTTCTTTCTTATAACTGCCATTTCATCTGTCAGCTCATGTGTTGTTTTATTATTTTCCATAAATTCCTTAAATCATGTTTCAATTTTCATCTTAATCTCAATGGTCTTTATTGTTATCTATATTATGAATTCTGTTTCTGTCATTTCAGCCATTTCAGTCTGCTTAAGAACCCTTGCTGGGGAACTAGTGTGGCTGTTTGGACAACAGGGGACCTTCAGACCATTTGAATTGTGGGTTGATGTTCCTTTAAGGTGGTATAATTTTAGTGCAGTTGGTTGGCTCCTTTTCTGGTCTGGTTGTTTCCAGGGGGCTAATGCTTTATGTAGGTTCTCCATTTGTATCTGAGTTTTGGTCCATGATTTCACAGAGTGGTATATTAACAAAGTATTTTTACTGAAGTTTGGATTGTGATTCATGGCTTTTAAGCATAATGGCTAGTAGATAGGCTCTTGCTCAGCCATGTGGCTCCTCTGTATTTACTAATGTTTGTACCATGCTCCCTCTCAGTGCTTTGAAACTGTGGGTTTCTCTCCTGTTCAAATGCTAACTGTAGATCTCAGCTTGGTACTCCCAGGCTACATACCACAGTCCTTGGGAGAACTCAGGCTTTTTCTTCTTCATGCTACAGGAAGCAAGGGAAGGAAACTTGGCCATGGCTATGGCAGCGGAACTTCCACTTGTATCTTGGGGCTCTATCCCTGAAGAATGCAGAGCTCCTTTGTGTGATCAACCTGGAATGGGGTGGCTATGTTGTAGGCCCAAGCTGAGGGGTCCTGCCTGGTGACGACCAGGGTCACAGGGAGCTTGTTGGGGAGCAAAGTGACCTCTTCTCTTTAGGGCAGCTGTGGCTTGCTTGAGGTGTCATTAAAGCACTTGGGTTGTTTGCTCCTTACAAAGTCGGATGCCAGCAAGGGCAGTATTAATGCAGCGGTAGTGGCAATGGAGTCTTCGATTGTCTCTGGGAGCTCCACCTCAGAGAAATGTAGAAACGCTGCTACAAAAAAGAAAAAATAAAATAAAATAAAAACCTCACTTTTAAATAACCAGTAGATCAACAAAAACATCACAGGTAAAAATTGAAAATATTTTGAATAAATCAGAATGTACATATCAATATCAATGTTTGTGGGAGGGAACTAAAATTATGCTTAGAGAAAAATGTATAGATTTTTATTCTTAAGAAAGAAAGGAAGAATGGCCTAAAACCAATTATCTGAATGTTCCACATAGAAAGCTAGAACACAACAAGCCAATTAAATGCAAAGTATGTAGAAGAAGAGAATTTATAAAGAAAAGCAATCAATGACACAGGAAATGGACAAATGGTATATTAATACATAAAATTGTTTGTTCTTTTAAACTATTAACACAATTACAAAGCTGTAGCAGGAGGAATTAATAAAAGAGAGAGACAATGAAAGGATGGCAAATTAAAATTGTGAGAATAAAAGAGGGCTACCATTTCAAACCTAAAAGTATAAAATATTTTAAAATTTTAGGAAGACCTTTATTGCAATAACTTTTTTTGTTTGACAAATTATTCTGAATTCTATCTCATTCTTAATGTTTTAGGAAAACTAATGTAATATAAAATTGAGCAACAGAAAATGTTTAGGCCGAACTCATCTAAAATTATTATAAGAAAGAATTAACAGAATAACATTCCTACATATAATAAAAGTATGACTTAGATGCATGCTTACAAAGCAGGTAAATCCTGTGGTTTACTATTTCCAAATGAAAATCTCAAAAAATTATATGAGTGCTTCAGAAATGCCAGATATAGGTGACAGGGAGGAGGGCAGCAAACCACATTGCCATGTGTTTACCTATGCAACAATCTTGCATGTTCTTCACATGTACCCCAAAACCTAAAATGCAATAAAATATATATATTTTTTTTAAATTAGTAAAAGAAAATTACATTTGTAAATGAAAAACTGGAAGAAACACAAAAATGAATAAGCACATTTGTAATTTTAAGGCAAATGCATTTCAATTTTTTCTGTATTTTCTTTTTTTTTTATTTTTTATTGGATTTTAGGTTTTGGGGTACATGAGCAGAGCATGTAAGACAGTTGCGTAGGAACACACATGGCAGTGTGCTTTTCTTTCCTTCTCCCCTTCACCCACATTTGGCATTTCTCCCCAGGCTATCCCTCCCCACCTCCCCTCCCACTGGCCCTCCCCTTTTCCCCCCAATAGACCCCAGTGTTTAGTACTCCCCTTTCTGTGTCCATGTGTTCTCATTTTTCATCACCCACCTATGAGTGAGAATATGCGGTGTTTCATTTTCTGTTCTTGTGTCAGTTTGCTGAGGATGACGTTCTCCAGATTCATCCATGTCCCTACAAACGACACAAATTCATCATTTCTGATTGCTGCATAATATTCCATGGTGTATATGTGCCACATTTTTCCACTCCAGTTTCTGTATTTTCACTTGAAACTGCTCTGCATTTTAAAATTAATTAAATTAAAACCAGTGTATAATAGGAACATTCAATGATGTTAAAAGTTTGTTTTTTAAAAAGGTGTAATATATTTGATAAAGCTCTAGATAATCTGTACAAAAAGAAATAAGAGGGAAATAAAAATAACACAAGCTATAATTATTGGGATTAAATGGGGAACATCATGATAGATTTAAAGAGGCGATGATATGAAGTAGTTTTCAACTTCTATATTTGCTAATAAATTTGAATATTAAAGACTTGGACAAATTTCTTTGAAACAACAGTTTTTCAAGTGACAGAAGAAGACATATGTCAATAACTATAATTTATAAACTGTGTGTCAAGTCACAACAAGATGACACCATGAACTCAGAGTGGTGTCACGATATAGTTAAAGTCACATATAGAGAAGATAAAAACATATAACTTTGTTTTCAATCTATGTATCTAAAAACAAATAAAACTTTCACAGGAAAACTTAACATCTTTGTGACACTAGTGTTGACCAAGATTTAGGTACATCATGCAAAAAGTATTAACCAGTATATAATTATAGTAAAATATTTATTTTTGTTTATAAACTGAACTACTAAGAGCTTATAAGTCAATAGGCAAAGTGGAGAAATATGTTTTCAATAATACCTTGACATAATACTCATAGACAGGCTATATGAACATTATCTAGAAACATAACACTATAGGAAATATGACGAATTTCTCTAATCGTGTGGTAAATATGGGTTAAAACCACCATAATATACAGATTGAGCACTGATAATCCAAAACTCCAAAATGCTCCTAAATATAAACTCTTTGAGAGGTGACACCACAGGTAGAACATTCCACACATGACAACTTTGTTTTCTGACAGTTTAATGTACACAAAATATCTTTCATGTACAAAATGATTTAAAATATTGCAGTCAAGTGTCTTTTATCCAATAAAAGAAAAATCTATCTTTCTGGATTAATGCTTGAGAAATGTCCTTTTCCAACGGCTTTACATTTAGCCCCAAAATGGCATTTAATTCAACAGCATACAACTCCTGTGAGTCCCCATTCAACATTTTTGATACATTTGATCCATCTTTAGTTTCTACAGAAGTTGAAGAAGATAGAGAAGATGGCTTGTATTGAAAAAGAAGTTGATTCCCCTCCCAATGCACTAATACATACAATCGAAGCTACTGCACAGGGAAATTAATCCATTATATAAGCTGAGACCAAAGTTAACTCCTGGAATTGAGAGAATAAAACCTCTTGGGTCAATGAAGAACCTTTTGGAAATCCTAGCATGGGAAAAGGTCAACATGCATACTTCAACCATATCAGTAGGCTCTGTTCAAAGTATCATTTGGCTGTTCAACCATCTTCCAGTACTGCTTGCAAGTTCAATAGAAACTGGGAATCAACCACCAAAAGGAGAGATTAGGTTCATGGTCACAAGCTCCCTTCCCACACAGGACTAGGGGGCAAACAGCAGCTCAAAGGAGAGATTAGGTGACTCTTGGTCACAAGCCCTCTTCCCACACAGGAGTAGGGGACAAACACTCAGCAACTCAGAATTACTTGGGGACATAAGCCCAGGCAGACCTGGCCAGCAAAGGCAACCCGCTCAGGTCCCTTCTAGGCTGTGGAATCTTTAGCTTCACTTGCTCAATAAACTGCACTGCTGCTCACGCTTTCCAGCTCACTCTCCTTGGTGAGTTTGGAGCAGGAATACTCACCATGGGGGTAAGGCTCTCTGCTCAATTCTTCAAGCAAGGGAAGCCAATAAACTGTGAACGGAGTCCAAGTTACATATCCAGTTACAGACTGACTGAAATAAGTGGGGACAGCTCTGCAGTCCTGCAAGGTAATTGTGACTTGGAAAAGAACAGGACCACCCTATGTTTGCAGTCATGGTAGCAGAAGCAGCATCAGCTATCTGGAGACAGCCATGCCCATGTGACCAGACAGGGAGCATGGAAAGTCCACACACTGATTACATACACTGCCTCCTGTCCTGTTTGCTTCAGATTACAGGGAATCCCTGGGAAGTGATGGACATTCTCCAAGGGAAACCTGAAGGCACATTTTTGCTCATGGACTCTGAGCACAAGGACAACCTCTTCTCTAAGCTTTTGCCATGACAACAGATCTCTGTATACACAAATTGAGCAGTGGATTCACAACTTTAGTTTTGATGCCCATGACCTATGTGGATTTTCTCTAAAGTAACAGAGAACTTTAGAACATTATGAAGATCTCAGGTCTTGCATGTTTTTTTAAAACTGTTGCTTACTATCATTACATGGGACTTTTCCTTTTAGCCTGCAATGTATCTTCCATGCAGTAATCTGCAGGTGTATGTACTAAATATGATGGATCAATTCATTCCTTTTACCATCAGTGTTACAGCAATTTTTTAAAGTATTATTATAAACAAAAAGTTAGGATTCACAAGTTAAAATGAGGACCAGTCAAGCCAAAGTAAGCTCTCCTGTACTTAGAGGGTATTAACTAGGTCTGCTTTCATGTGGATGAGATAACATACCTATAGCAACACACATATCAATGGTGGACATTTTTGTACAGTGTGTAAGCTTAGTGTTAGCATCTGTCAGATGCAATCTGCTGTTAGTTATTCAGATAAACATGGTCCCTATTGAAACAAAAAAATAGAACTATAGGTATTCAGCAAGACTACAAAAACATTTTGCTAATTTAACTAACAGTTTTTATGGCTGTAGTAATTCAGTGAGACAATGCTGGGGCATTTGCATAAAGAATTCTATTTCTTCCTGAAGGACAAATGCATAATATTGGATGAATATTTCAGTCTGTGACCGTTTGAAATTATTTTGTCTAAGAGTTTTTCTGTAATCTTCCAAAATTAGTGATGTTTGTAGTTACTATAATTCAAGCTTTGAGAGTTTTTTTGAAAAAAAAAGACTGCCTTTCTTTTAAGAAAAAAAATGCAAGTTTCTGGCCCAAAGGGCAGAGTGCAGTTCAATTAAGTGTTTACATAAATTATAGTTACACTCTTTTTCTCATCTGGAAAAAGCACTGGCAAGTAAACCAGCTTTTCTGAATAGTCATTCTTAACATTTCAGCCTTAAAAAGTTGGTAGCAAAATTTTTTTAAAGGCCCTAAGTACTGATAATTTTAATGAGTGCTGTAATTTAAAGCAGGTATTTGGAATAGCTGCTACAATGTATTCTTCCATGTGGTTTTTTTAAGTTGACATGCAGTCTAATTGCTGATTCATAAAAGTTGGATATTTTCCTATGCCCATAATGGGCATGAAGAACAGAAAACTAGAAAATACCCAAACAAGTCAGAAAATAGGAACTTCAGTGGTTGCTAATGTTGAGATTATTGTTAAACTATAATTAATAATTTGGATGGCAGTACTTACCTCTTTGTGGTAAACTCTTATAGTTGAATTAAGTATAATTTATAGAATTGCAGTGCAGTTAATTCTTAATGGGAAATTGAAATTTAAAATATAGATTTAAAAGGTACTGCATAACCATTATATCCATAAATTATTTAGTTCCTTTTTGTCATTTAGAATATTTATTACTACTGGAGTGAACTGTTCTTGAAGATTTTTCAAGTTCTAGTGTTTGCTTCAAAGTAACAGAACTGAATTTACAGTTCTTTTCTAGATATTTGTCAGTAAAATAGCCAAATCCATTCTTATGTCTTTTTGTGACTGTGCTCTCTACTACTGGTGAGTGTTCCATAGTTTCTACACTTGCTGCTACAAAATGTGATTTTACATCCCTAAAAAACACAAGAGCTGTGTTTGTATACAACACTGACCCTTTTACTAGCAATGCACGTTTCTGCTTGATATGCCTTGTTGTGCCTACTTTTTTGTGCTAATAAAGGATGTTTGGTGTTCTCCTTGTAAAAAAAAAAATGAAAATTAGTAAATTTAAGTATACAGAAATAGTATTGTCAAAGTCAAAATTCTAGAATATAAAAGGGACAGTGGTTCCTAAAAACCACCACATGACAACAATTAGTATGTCTCATTTGTTCAATTTGGAATTTACTGTGTGAGCTCCTGGTTGTAATAAACAGCTAAGTAGAATCTTCTAAACCAGTGTAAGAAATTTTAATCATATAAGTTATTCAGATTTTATGTTTATACTAAGCCCTATATGCAAGTGTTAAATTCACCAACAGGGAACCTACTTATTGGCCCAGAAATGTCAGAGAAGCCTATTGGAATTGATAAAATAAAAGTTAAAAAATCAAATCTATAAACATAATCCGTCACATAAACAGAACCAAAGACTACAAACATGATTATCTCAATAGATGAAGAGAAGGCCTTCAACAAAATTCAACAGCTCTTTGTGCTAAAACCTCTCAATAAACCAGGTATCAGTGAAACATCCCTCAAAATAATAAAGGTTATTTATGATAAACCCGCAGCCAATATCATACTGAATGGACAAAAACTGGAAGCATTCCCTTTCAAAACTGACACAAGACAAGGGTGCCTCTCTCATCACTCCTATTCAACATAGTATTGGAAGTTCTGGCCACAGCAATCAGTCAAGAAAAAGAAATAAAGCATATTCAATTAGGAAAAGATTAGATTCCAAAGTAATTTATAGATTTAATGCTATCCCCAATAAGCTACCACTGACATTCTTCACAGAACTGGAATCAAACAACTTAAACTTCATATGGAACTCAAAAAAGCCCACATAGCCAAGACAATCCCAAGTAAAAACAACAAAGAAAGAAAGCTGGAGGCATTGGGCTAACTGGCTCTTTAGACTATACTACAAGGCTACAGTAATCAAAACAGTATGGTATTGGTACCAAAACATAAATAGAAACCAGTGGAACAGAATAGAGGCCTCTGAAGTAAAACCACACATCTACAACCATCTGATCTTTGACAAACCTGACATAAACAGGCAATGGGGGAAAGGAGTCCCTGTATAATAAA